CCAAGGCGGCCGGTGATCGTCGGCAGCAGTGATCTATCCGCTGCCGGATTAAAGGGCCCATCCTCGTGCCGTGGCCACTCCTCGCATGGCAGAGGTCGCAACCGGGTACCCGATACCCGTACCCTTCCCGATACCTGGCTACCCGTACCCGGCCGGGTACGGGTACGGGTAGCCGTTTGCGACCCTGGTGCGGCCGGGTACGGGTACGGGTAGGCCGTGAGTCACTGGTGAGTCACCGTTTGTCACTCATTTCGGGTAGGGTACGGGTACGGGTACCCATTTGCAACCCCGGTGCGGCCGGGTACGGGTAAGGAATCAAAACCCGTTTGCGACCTCTGCCGCACGGGCCCCCCCCCCCCCCCCCCCCCCCGTGACGCCCTCAGTGCCGGGGATGTTTGGTGCCAGTTTCCACGACTGAGTGTCTGGCTTCGTGCTGGAGGGAGAGGAGAGTGCCCGGAGAACACCCACCATGCATTCGCGGAGGGAAACGCTCACAACTCCCCGTGAATAGATTCAAGGATCCACTTGCCGTATTGCCATCCGCTGGGGCCACCCGAAGCCTACAGCAACCTGTTATTCTCGGGCCAATCTGATGTAAAAGAAAAAAACGAATCGGGCGCAAATTCATTTGAGCATTTCAAATATGACGAGGTCTGGCGCATTCAGGCTCATTTGGTCATTCGGGTCTACGGTGTTCCTTTCTTTGACGGACCCCAACCATACCTCGAGGGTCGATAAAATGGCGCCCACTTAATGGAGATATCAACGGCGACTGTCTTATGGATTTAACGTCGTCTTGTCACGGCAATGCGGAATTTCCACGGCCGACCGATGGCGGAGAAGAACGAGCGTTGCTCCGGTGGTCGTTGGGAGATGCCTTGAACGACGCTTTGGAGTAAATTCAAGAAGCGGCCCATTTCAATGATGTGGTCGCGTTAAGAAAAACTAATTAAAATAAAAAAAAACTCACAGAGATCGCACGATATGCGCGCGGATTCTGCCAAACGACTGCCCGACTTGCGTCTGTCCTCGTAAAGTATTTCGTGAGCCCGAGGCAGATATAAAATTCGAGCGCCATCCCCATCACCTTCCCCAACGAGTCGCCGGGCAGCGAGATCGAAACTCCCCCCGCAGTGAAAGCCAGAGCAGGGGAAGAGGCGGAGACGAGAGGGCAGTGCAGGAGACGAGAGAAACGAGGGCGACGGCGGTGGGAGACCTCTGAGTGCGATGGATCAGTGCCCGTGCCCCCCGGGCATCCGTGGGACAAGAAAGAGCTTTACAGCTTGTCGGATTCCTCCTGCAGTCTCAGATGACCGCTCTGATTTGGATAGAAGCAAGATTGGTAGAGACGGTAGATTGTTAAGCGGAATGTGAATTTCGATTTAAAGCTTTCGTGACTGCAGGGATTCATCTTCTTGGTTCTTTCGGTAAAGTCACGTAGAAGGGAAGTAATAAAATAATAAAAATAAAACATAATAAAATAATTCTCACGACGTTTCGGCCACAACGCAAGCAGCCGTCCTCACCTGAGGACGGCCTCACCTGAGGACGGCCTCACCTGAGGACGGCTGCTTGCGTTGTGGCCGAAACGTCGCGAGAATTATTTTATTATGTTTTATTTTTATTATTTTATTACTTCCCTTCTACGTGACTTTACCGGAATATGAATGTTAAGTGATCTCGTCGCGCTTATACGGCTTGGAATTCGAGCTCATATTTTGACGCAACCTTTAATTATTTCATGGCAAAGGTAGGGAGGGGGGGGGCAACCCCTCGCGCTGCTAGGGGACCCCTAAGCTTTCGCCGGTTTGGTTAGCGCCGCTACCGCTCCATCTAACCTCGCCGTGTCCTTAATTAACCCCCTCACGCCCCCCCCCCCTCCCTGTGACCCTTCACCTCATCCGTTCTGCCCGCACTCTCCCCCCTGGCTTTGCAAAGGGCTCGCCGCTCGTAATGGCGCCCATTAATCCTTTGCCGCTGGGTTCCGAGCGCACGAGGCTGCCTTCGTGGCGGCGGCGCCGTTAACATAAAGAGCAACCGCCATCAAGCGACTCGCGGCCGCAGCGGTCGTTGTCGCCACACCACGCCACGTGTGTGTGTGTGTGTGCGTGTGTGCGTGCGTGTGTGTGTGCGCGTGTGTGGGGAGCGGTAGTGTAGCGGTTAGCGCGCTGCGCTATGAACCCGGCGACACGGGTTCGATTCCCGCTCTCGGCTAACACCAGTGACGATTATCTGAACCGGTCCCGGGCCTCCCCTAGGTCAACTCAGCCTTAAATGAGTACCTGGTGCGGTGTGTAAACATCGCCACTGGGGAGACAAAGGCGGCCGGGCGTGGTGCTGGCCACCCACCCCCTCGTGTGCCGTTCCGGCCTTCATAGGTGCTCGCTAACAGCACTTGCCCCTACAGTCTGTTAAGGCTATACGAGGGATCTTTGTCTTTTATCTTTGTGTGTGTGTGGGCGAGGGGCATGGGACCCGAGGAGCACGCGTGGTGTCGTTACTGTTGGACACGTAGTAGTGGTAGCAGTAGACGGGATTTCGCACACCGATGTTGTCCATAACTAAGGGGGGGGGGAGGGTTTTGGATTAGGTCGCGTAAATACGAATGCGTCGTTAAACCCGCCACCACCATCCGACACGGCCAATTAGCAAGGTTTGTCACGTCAACACAAACGTGCCAATTAGTTGACTCGTTCGGCACTCACCGGTGTGTTCGGAGACTAAACCCACAACGTTTACAATTCGTTTCGTCGGTGATTGCAACCGGCATCATCAGGCGATACAGAGGATTGTAAACGTGAGCTCATTGCGTACGACAAATATGAAGTGAGAAAAATCGATTCACGCGCGAGCGATTCGGTTCGTGCGCAGCGAGCTTAAGATCCGACGTTAATCGATGAATCGACGAATCATTGCACTTCTAGCTATCGCCACGGTAATGTGGAATTTCCACCACCGACAGAGACGAGAAGCACCTCACACTCGTTCGAGTATGCGAGCTCTACTCGGGACCGATTCACGTGCTCTTGGCGGAAACTAATCTTCGTCCGATCACTAACTATTATTTCCCAAACTATTAACGTGTTGGTGTTTGCATCGTCCTTGTACTGTTCGCTTTTTGGCATTCTGTTGGTCTCTCGGAACCGGTGGGACACATCCATGAAAGAGTCTCTCTCTGGTGTAGGCCAATCAGTTTCATGGACAATGCATACACGACCAAAGCATAATTGATTGCACGATTTGCCACGAGTATGTGTGGTCAATGCAGACTTGATGGCTTGTATAATGTGGCTATTTGGTGTTTGAACATTCGAGTTACTACCGTATTAGTTTCTCATCATCTTGCTACTGGCAAACGATATATATTCGTTCTGTTTTTTTCCCCGAAATTCTGTCGTAGTCTCTCAAACATCAGCAGCAGCAGCAGCAACAACAACGTACGGACGACGTTGGTTTGACCGACGTGCGGCAAGCGATCCCATAGCAGAGTGTGTGGGAAAGTGAAAGTGCCGCCCCCCTCACACCCCCCCCCCCCCCCCCCACTGTGTGAAGGATTAAAAGGGGGAAAAACCTCTTCCGCAGCCGATGTCCGACAAACGGGACGCGGTGCCCGGCAAGATTGCCCAATGGATTCCTCCCCGTGTGAGGCGGTGTGATGCCAATTGTCACGATTGGGCAAATACGGTGAATTGGGTGGGTTAGCATTCCCAAAAAAAACACCAGGCCGGAAAACAACCGAGGCGATGGTGCCGCCGTTTTCGGGCCGATTTTGCCCGGGATTCAAATCTGGCACCTCCCGCTCGGATATTTTCGTTCTCGACGTTCAGCGACGAGCGGAAAATCGGTCGCCTCCCTCTTTTTTTGTGCCGGGGGAGCTTCGAGCGGAAGCCATCGACCCGGAGCCGAGTTTCGCGAACTTCGCCACCTATCGCCGCCGGTTTCACGGCGTTCGTTTTTTTGCGTTCGTTTTTTTTTTGCTTGCGCAGGTCAAGGAGGTGGGGGAGAGGCGGCCAGAGTGAGGGCCACCGCGTCGCGTTGGCACTGTGTTGTCGTTGTGCTCGAAAGTTGTTTGTGTTTAAACTCACCCGATGAATTTTTCTCGATTTTGTTTCCACACCGCACCGACTGCTCGTCGTTTGTTCCAATGCGCCCCCTCGCCGCGAGCGTTCCCCCGCGGCCGGTGACGACCGCTCGCGGCTCCGGTTTCAGGAGGTAATAAACTCCACCACGTTTTATGTTTTTTGGGGCCAGGTTAAAAGTGACTATGTACCCGGTGTGTTTTGTTTCGTTTGTTGTTGTTATCGTCTTCATTCAATCTGGAGTTAATACGCGGGCAATGATAATAACGATCGCGACGTTGGCGATGATGACACTCCCCGGTGCGGCAGTTGATGCGATGGCTAACGTCGCTTAAATCCCGACCCGCAACCACCACCACCAACTCCGCTTGCCCGCCTGCGTCCGTGCACCCACAGCTTCAGAGATGTTTGGGCCAGCGTGGAAGAGTGGACGGAAATACCCTCCGAGAGAGGGGGGGCTTTCTGTCTGTCTCTCTCTCGAGCTCCCTGTATTGGAGGAGGCTCCTCCGCCAGCCAGCAGTGGCACGAACAAGCAAGTGGCCTTTTTACTAAGAGTAATACAACGTACGACCGAGTTAAACAAACAACGCTGAAGATTTGCACCGTGCTATTACTGTGGCTTCTCTACACAATTGGTGGAATTTTTTTAAATTTATTAACGAAAAATACGGCACTTCATGGCCGCGTTTCCCTCACTGACGAAACCAAGCGACCCCGAAAGCCGGAAAAACCCCGAGGTGGAGCTTTCCTCAAAACCGGAGTCGCCCGGCAGTCAACTCTGCCCCACAATCCCCCCCCCACTGCTTTCATCTCCCACCCAAACCTCCACCACCCTGAACAACCGCCCTCTCCCCTCGCCCGATCTCGCTCCCCTCCCCTCCCCTCCCCGCCGTAATGATTTGTCTTCTCTTTGCCGTCCAGAACTGCTGCAGGCGTTGAATGAACAACGGCAGGAAGGAGCGTTCACTGACCTGAGACTAAGTGTGAAGGGACGCGTGTTCCGGGCACACCGTAATATCCTAGCGTCCTGCAGCTTGTATTTGAAGCAGCTGATCAAAAGGTTCGCCTCCCCCCCTCCCCACCTCCCCACCTCCTGCCCCCCACCCCCCCACACTCTTTCTCTCACCAACCCCGTTCTCTTCTCCCTGTGCTCCCCCCACCCCTCCTACCCCCACCTCTCCTTGAACTCGCTCATGGCATGACGGTAAACGGGGCCCCCCTAACCCAGATCTTTCCGTCCCCACCTCCCCTCCCCACCACCACTGCCGCTCCACTGACGAACAACCAACCTCGCACCGCACCGCCACCACCATCACCGCCATCGCCACCACCATCACCGCCATCGCCGCCACCACTGTCAGCACCGTCAGCACCACTATCGCCACTGGTGCCACTACCGCCACCGACACCACCGCCATCAAAGCCGCCACCACCACGACCATCACCACCATCGCTACCGCGCCTGTTGTTGCTGTTGACGGGATGAATCCGTTGCATTGTGGGTGCACGCACACACACACCTAACTTTCTACCTCCCGACACGAAGCGACAGTTGCTGCACACAAAACGGCACTGCCCTGCAACCCGCGCAAGGTTCACGGAGACGCGGCGGACGTGGCCAGCGCCGTGGCGCGATAGAATCGGTCCGTGAGATGCCGAGGGGACTGCAGGTGCAGCGGTGTCTGAGCGTGGGTTGGAGCGCGGGATTTAGCGTGGGGGCTGAGCGTGGGTTCGGAATCGCTGTTATTGCTGCCGGTTACTGTTCCACAGCCTCCTTGTGTACGGGAAAGCGCACGTCTAGGGTAACCTCATTTGGGCACGACAACACTCACTTTACACTGCTGTCAACATGCCTCCCTTACATATTTCACGGACTTATGCTGTCGCTGTACGGCGCTGCCGCTGCAGGGCGGCGGGCGGTTTCGTTTTTTTTTGCATCATAATGCCGGGAAGGGATATGCGGCTCGTATTTGGCGACATCCCCTCTTTGGCTTGGTGCCGAACGCCACGCCGCCCGTCAAACTGTTCGTCCATTGTCGTTTTAAACGGCGATCGTTCACTTATTTTGTCGGATTTTTGAAAATTTGCGCTTTGTTATTTTTCTTTCTTCGATGGCGCCGAGGCGAATTGTTTACGTCGCCACGGTAGCTACGGACGGACTCGGAAGTAAGTAAATACGTACGTTGGCAGAATTGTTACCGAAATTTATTTCTCTTTTTTAATGTCAAAATAACCTTTGGATTCAGCGACGGCGAAGAACCGTTCCCAAAATTGGATAAATCGTGGTTGTTTATTATATTTTTTTTGGCGTTAAATATTGCTTTCAACGCGACCCTGCCGAGTCTCTCCCCGGCCGTGCCGATGCGCGTCTCACCAATGCGTTTTCGGATTGTGGGGGGGGGGCACGGGGGGCTGTGCACCGCGAGCCATCAGGCGCCGACGTCCGTCCGGCGTTTCCCTCCCAGCGCGGGAGCGAAACGCCGGAAGCAACCCGCTCCCAATGGCTCGCGGCGACGTCCCGCGAAGTCGGAGAAGGGGGCAGAGAGGGGCGATTGATTCAAGAAAACCGTCGCCGATTCCCACCGCCCGGCCGTCGTCGGTCCGAGACATGTCGAGCTGTCGCTGCAGTGCGTGTTAACGATGCACGTCTCTTTCAGAGGGTCACGGGCGACGTTCGCCCCGTGGCTCAGAAATCGGAAAAGGGCAAATTAATTCCCGTGCATTTTTGCTGCCGAGTTGACGCCGCGTTTCCGTCGATGTTTTTTTTGCCGATTTAGAAGCACGCTTTGTTTGCAAGAACAGAAAAGGGGGCCTTTCTGTCACGTGGGCGTGCTCAGAGTTTCCCGTGGAAATTTGGCTCGAATTGCTGCAGATTTTAACGCCAACAATTGCGAATTACAGTAATGCGTAGAGATTATTTCTAATAGATTATTAGGGCATTCGTAGTGGTTTGAATGAAAGAAAGAACTGACATGATGAGAGTGTCTCAGCAATGGATATCTTTTTTTAAAGGCCGTTTGTCCGTTTTAACGCTTCTGGAACACCCAATATATTATATATTACAGCCCAAACCAAGTCAGGAATTCTAAATACACGTTTTTCGCAAAGATGTCCCCTTTTACGTAACTTCCTTTTGCACGAAGGATTTTTGTTTTTGTTTTATCGCAGCTGCTGCTACGGACGACACCATCGTCTCTCCATTCTCCCACCGAGGGCACCCACCGTTTAGACGCACGCCTCAAATTGCCGTATTCTCCGTATCATGACGCAAGTTTGCCCCGCCCCCCGAAATTATAAAGCAAGTCACGAGGTGCATCAATCTGGTAGGTGCACGCGTGAGTGTGTGACCAGATTTGTGGTGCATCTGTCAGTTATCTCAGTCAGTCAGTCACCCCATGGCACCTGGGTCTGTCCCCGTGACTTCACGTGGCCTCGGAGTGCACCTGGCCTGGCGCAAGCGCTGCGGCGACATCACCGCCACATCGTGGCGAATGTTGTTGTTGTTTAACGTTATTGACACCGGGCACACTTTTTGGGGTGCGTCCTACTTTTCGGAGCGTCCCATGATCCGGAGAACACGGTGACCTAGCTGCCCTTGTTCCGTGACCTCTTTATTCCAGATGGGTTTTGTAACCAGGGGAGCGATCGCTCCGGAGCGCAGACGGCATTAGTGCGGCACGCGCAGGCCTCTCTCCCCACCATCACGAGGCTGCGTTGTGCTCGCGTTTCTTCAAAGCGATCGCACGGCGACGCGCGCGGGAACCGTTTAACATCTGCCTTTATCTCCCGCATCATTAAGGCTACTTGCACTAGCTTTTAGAAGATAAGAAAATGCGCGCACACGAACGCGCGCGCGCACACGAACGCGCGCGCGCACACGAACGCGCGCGCGCACACGCACGCACACGAACCCACGCACGCACACGTACACTGGTGTCATGTGAATGATTGCAGGTGGGCCACGGATAGCTTCGGGAGTTGGCACAATTATCAGTGATCGGCTCCTATGCGTGAGCGCTACTGTCTCTTCGCTGCGAATTGCACCTATTTGTCCCGGGAGTATGAGTGGGTGAGTGGGTGAGTGGGTGAGTGAGTGAGTGAGTGGGTGGTTGAGTGGGTGAGTGAGTGGGTGAGTGGGTGAGTGGGTGGTGGAGTGGGTGAGTGAGTGGGTGAGTGGGTGGTTGAGTGGGTGAGTGAGTGGGTGAGTGGGTGGTTGAGTGGTTGAGTGGGTGAGTGGTTGAGTGGGGGAGTGAGTGGGTGAGCGAGTGGGTGGGTTGTTGAATCAGTGAGTTAGCGGTTGTGTAAGTTGTGACCTGCAGCGACGGCTGTTGGAACACAGTGTGGATGAGACCAAACAGTCGGTGTCTGTTAGACCAAATCCTCAACACGGGTGGAGGAATCATCGACGTTAACTATGGTAGGAGCGATAAAAGAATGTGATAATGAGGCGACTAATCACCAACCCACCACAGATGTTAACCACCTTGCCTGGTATACAGAAGGTCGTGGGTTCGATGTCGACCCTGACATCTGTATATCTGGAGTTGGCATGTTCTCCCCGTGTTCGCGTGGATTTCTCTCCGGGTCATCTGGATTTTCCCCTCCACATTTCGAAACGTGCCTTTATATTTGGCTGCCATAAATGTCCACACGATGATAGGCCACTTCGTTGAGCAATCATTTGTAATAGCCAGATCGCTTCTGAAAAATAGCTACATAGCTCAGTGGGCCTTACCTGCTCGAAAAAAAAATAGTTTAAAAAAAAGTAACCCTGTGAGGGAGTGAGTGAGTGGGGTGAATCACCGAGTTCTGGATCATTAAACCCGAACGCTTAATGTTGAGTGCATTGCCACACTGTAATTCGCTCTCACCCAGTGCTATGAACACCATGTCGTGAGCACATCACACCAGTTCTCTTGTCCTTACATTGGCTCACAATCAAATATGGAATTGATTATAAAGTCCCTGCTATTGACCTACAGGAACTTATCCATTTCTATGCACCACCAATGAGGTCTTTCTGGTCTTCTTCTTCGTATTCCGAGGTGAAGGCTCAGTTCCTGGGGTGGTCAGGCTTTTGCCAGTACAGCTCCAAGACTGGAACACGTTGGCCTCTGACACTAAGCAAAATCACAATCTTTAGAGCTAATGAGATCTTCCCCTGGAAACTCATCCCTGTAAAATGGCCTATTCCCCATAGTTATGGTCGTCTTACCGCTGGCTCTGTCTTATTTCCCTGCTTTCCATACACGGCACGCATTGGGGATGAAATGCCCCTTACAAATGTAACTTATTATCATGAGTCCTGACTCAACTGTCAAAGCAACATAACTGGCGCGTGAATCAAATCAGCAGCCACAATGACGATCGTTATTCCGGGTGACATGAACGAATGAAAATTGCTCGTGGTTTTACCGAACTCGAATATCGACTTTCGTCAGCGGCTCATCCTTCCCGTCTTATCCGTCGATGCTCGTGCAGACCACCCACCAATTACGAGCCGCGCGAACGTGCGGCAGCGCCAATTAACCGACCGACCGACCGCACAGCAGGCGGGCGCCTGCTAATTGGTCGGGAGCGGAGAGCCACGTAGTCCAGTGCCCCCCCCCCCCCCCCCCGGAGGGATACGTTAGGGACCCCCACGGCCATACGGATGGCTCTGCGTACTGTACGTACTCTATGCGGGTCGAGTGACTGACGCGCGTTCATTTCCAGGCGGTATTATCTCCACGGAAATAATTATTTTTGGCCGTGGAATTTCCACTCCATATCCAAGCTGCTGCTGCTTCGGTGGTGGTTAGAACGCTGCCGGGCAGGAGCAGTGCTGTTAGCACGCTGCACCGCGATACTCCGCTAACCACCCCCCCCCCCCCGAGTTCGATTCCCAACCACGGCCAGCGTCGGTGGCGCACGGTGGCGCACGGTGGCGCACGGTGGCGCACGGTGGCACGGCCCGGTGGTGGCGCGTTCACCGCTTGTTTGGTTGTTGTTGTTGTTGTTGAAGAGGTTCACGGTTCGATTCCAGCGGCCGCCGTGATTTAATACTGCGGCGGTGCGCTA